TTTTTCCAGTCGTTTTAATTCTATAAATATATTGTGAAATGTTTTTGTAAATGATTCAGATACATTGAATATTGTAACGTTAATTCTTTTTATACAAATTCATGAAAACGTTATCGATCGATACAAGAGAGACTGAGAATATCGGTGATTTGAAAACATTGGAAACGAATTCGATTGATGATACTCAACAGCCAAATATTGTTGTTGCTGATATACCGTTGTTGGTTGATCCTTTGGAAGATCAGACTATCAAAAAGTCGAGTAATATAAATAGTTATTTAGGTTTCATTTATTCATTATTAGCAGCCTTTATTCTAACATTAGCAGTATTTATTACAAAAGTAGTAAAAATTGATTTACTTGATGCCGTACTACTTCGGCTTATTGTGCAATCAATTATATCATTCTTCTATATATATTCTAAAAAGTACGTAATATTTGCTGGTACACCCAAACAAAAAGTACTACAAATTATTAATTGTTTACTTGCTGTATTTTCACTTATTATATTTTTACTTGCTAATCGTTATTTACCATTACCTGATCTAACAACAATTCGCTATACTCAAGTTATATGGACAGCAATAGCTGGTATAATTATTTTTCGTGAAAAACCATCAATACCATTAATATTAGGCAGTATTTTTACAGTAATCGGTGTTACACTTGTTGCACAACCTCATTTTTTATTTAAGTACACTCAACGAAGAGTCATATTGAATACAACGATTGATGATTATAATTCTACAATGATAACTAAAAATTCAACATTATCAAATCATTTCTTAGGTATTTTATTGGCTTTATCTTGTTCAATAATATTAACTCTTCTTATAATAACAAACAAAACACTTTTAGTATATAAAATAAAACCGAGTGTATTATTAATTCATTTTACTTCAACATCATTAATTTTCTTAACTGTATATCAATTATATAAATATTATGTTAGTCATAATTTTACAATACGTTTTACATGGCAATATATAGTCGCATCACTTGCTTTGCTTCTACATATATTATCATCGTTATTAATACAAAAAGCAATTAAACGTGAACATCCAGGTATATTTGCAATTACACAAAGTAGTGAAATTTTATTTGCAATTATGTTACAAAATTTATTTACTCAGTTTAAATCAAATTTGTTTGTCTTACTAGGATCAGCATTAGTTTTAACAAGTATTTTATTAGTCGGTGGTTATAAATTTTATAAAGATAAACGTAAACGTTGAGATAATTTAACATTATAACTATAATACAAAATGAAAAATGTCCGGCATTCATTAAGCAATAAAAAGATTTGTAAAAGTTTTGCATAAAAGTTTAGTTTATTTTATATTTATTATTACTGTTCATTTTAGAATTTGTAATGAAATGCTTGTAACCTTTGAAGTTGTACTATTTCTCGCTTTTAACTAGAAACACTTTTTTTTACTAATCCATTTTTACAGAAATAAATTCAATTACATAACTATCTATCTAAAGAAAAACTCATGTTTGGAGATACTATTTCACGAGGCTTCTAGAAAACGTACTGAAAAGCCATTTTCGAAGGCAGAATTTTACTGCTTTCAAAAGCGAC